ACGCTGCATTTGCGCGGTCTTTGGCGAAAGCCGCAGGCGAGAGCGTCAAACTTATAAATCACAACCACCCATTAATTAAGGCAGCAAAAAGTCGCAGAAAAAAATCCCTTTGCCATCCATCCGCCAGTTGGCTCGGCGTCAAATTGACTTTTTTCGCACGACAAAAAATTGTCTCCGCCACTGGAGCAGTGCCGTTAATTCTCGTCGACTTTTTTTTCTCATCGCCATTCAGTGGGCCGTGTGTTTATTGCGGTCATGTGTCAACCCTGCCCGGCGACACAACAAGCCCGCGGTCTCTCAAAGACAAAGCAATACCAGCAGCTCCAGTTTTTCACTCTGGTCGAATTATTTAAGGCTTTACTGGTGCTGCGTTTGAAAGACAACGGACGAAAAGAAAGAAAAAGAGAGAAATGGGAGAGCCTTCAGATGAGGCCCGCCGGCTCTCGTCCTGCTTGCTACTGACGTTTTTTTTCTGTGAGATGTGCTCGTCTTGTGCGTCTCTCCTTACTATATACGGCGCATACAAAATTCATGAGGGCTTAATTTTGGTAAATAATAAAGTAAGCGGAGCAGCGTGTAGTTGAAAATTTCAACAAAGAAGTCCAATCTGGCAGTTTAGAATAAAAGGCAAAAAACTGCACCGCCTTTTGATGTTGTGGAAATGTAGTATTTTTTTGGAAATAAGAAATATATAAATTCACTTACTTTAGATGTGTATGATGACTTGTATTTTTGAGCAAATATCAAAATAAAAAATTTACAATACAATTTTTAAAGAATATTTTGCTGTTTACATTAGAAAAAAATAATTGTGCTATTGAATTCAAGTCCTATGATATAATTATGTTTGATTTAATATCAATTTAGTTTTTTATTGTTCTAAAACATACATAATATTTTTAGAATTTTATAAGCAAAGTTGTGGATTTAATGCTCCATGATAATTGGAATATCGAAAGGCCACGATTAAAAAAAGCATAGAATCCTGATAGGTCTTTTGTAAAGATTTCAATTTTATTTTCTTTTTAGAAAAATGTTTTCAGACAAAAACGTAGAGTTATTTACTTACACACTTTCTTAACTTGAGTAGTTCATTTTAAGCATAAGTTCAATATAATACATTATTTCCTTTCTGGGATCTTTGCAAATTGATTTCTAAATGGAATTTTATAAAAATCTTCAGTCCATGGTTATATTTTTTATTACTGTATAAGTTTTTCAAACTGTTCAAAAATAATTTTACTTTCAAACCAGGACCAGGACTAAACAAAAAATTGAAATACTTAATTTGCTATTTCTGAATCATATCTCAATGGAAAAAGTAATGAATTTTTTCCACAATTGCGGGTATTTCAATAAAAAATCACATTTAGTCAGTTACATTTTTTGATCTTATTTGATAGCAACAAATCTCCCTAACCGTTTCTAATCTCGTGCAACGCACAACACGACGGGAACACATGTTGGAAAAGTTCTCATTTCTCACCAGCCTGCCCTCGCTGCATATTATATACGAGTGTAACAAAGCGAGTTTTTAATCCCTCTTAACCCTTTCATGCAGTGAGAGAGCCGCGTGCATAATGAAGCGTGTACACATTCATATTTTTGTCATCCACTCCCTTCCATTAAAATTTCGGCGGCGCCCCTCGTCGCTTTTGGTTTTCCAAGTCGAGCCTTGAGACGACGTCGACGACGGGGTAAATTGATTTAGCCGAGTCGGCGCGCGCTTCTCGCTCTCCAGCTCCTTCGTGCAGCATAATGAGCTTCACTGAAGAGTGTTTCGGAATTGAATTAAACTCGGCTCGGCGGAGCGACCGAATTTGTGCGCTGCGCCCCCCGCCTTTTCATAATGAAAAATTGTTGATTTTTCGCTTCAAAGGTCAATTAAGGCGAATTTTTGTCTTCGAGATGAATGAAAGTTCATCTTCCGCTCCATAAATTATGCTTTGGAAAAGTTGGAGTGTTGTAATTTTCCGCTGGAAGGATTTTTCAGCTTCGCCAGAATGAACTTTGTAATTTTATTAATTGACGAAACGCGTGAGTTGGCAATTTCCATTCCATTTTTTACCAGATAAAAAAGAAAGGGCAATACTAGTAGAATTCAAATGTACTGGGAGTTTTGTCAGCTTTATTAATTACATTAATTATTATTATTGTTGTTTATTCTTGTCCGACAAATATTACATACATGTTATATGCACAGATCACAAAGAAAAATAAATAAAGAAAAAATAAATAACTCATCTGTCAATATTTGCTTTGATTAGGATCTTACATTTTTACAGCCCTTAATCAGCAAACGTGCAAAAATTAATTATTAAAATGGATTGAAAATAACTTTATAGTTATTAAAAAATATAATATTAGTTGTTATAATTATGGCTTCGTGTGGTTTTTGTGTGGATCTAAGAATAAAAATTTTAGTCTTGCTTTTACTGTTAATTAATTTTTGAGTTTCTATGAAAATTATGAACTAATTTTTATTAATTTAAATACATTGTAAATTAGTCACAATGACATAATTATTAATCTCTCAATAAAATATACAGACTTCTTCTTTAAGACATAATAAGAGTTATTTATCTCCATTATAAGGCTGTAGTTAATTGTCAATAAATTATTAACTTATTTTTATTAATATTAGAGTTTAAGGACTCATGAATGTGAATGATGTAATAATAGAAAACAATGGATACTCTTTAAAAAATCAAAATCAAATAAAAAGAAATATTCCACTATTTGAAATTGCTACAGCCAATTATTGCAATGTTTATGTTTCAAAAACTGCGCACAATAATGTAGTATCGAATTGTTTTGTGTCCCGACAGAATAAACAAAGGGCGCACGGCCAATTGCATATTCATGAGTAGCGGTGAGGCTTTTTAGGCAGCAACAAGGCAATTAACTGCGTTTGACCATCACGAAGATAAACACGCCGAATGAATGGAATCTGGCGAGGAGGAAAAGCTTCTCACGCGCCTCGTCTCCCCGGCATGCCAATTAGAAACCGGCCGATCAATCCATTGTTCCGGCGCCAGGTGTTCGTTCCTTTTTAATCGGCGAGGGTGCGAACAGATAAACCGACGGCGTAGTTTCTCCTATTTTTAACCCTGCAATTAGAGAATGGCCCCCTAAAAATTTTCTACGGTCTATTAACGGAAAGACAGAGAGAGAGAGGAAAAGAGCATATTTAAAAAAAGTTCCCTTCCATTTGTCGTCGCTGCTGTTTTGCGTTTCTCAAGCGATTTATTTTCAATGCCTGCTCTTTGTGTGTATTAATGTCAGACAGGTAGCACCTGCAGCTGCCGGCGCGTTTCTTCATACTTTTGGTGTGCCCATATTGAATGTCAGGTGCTCTTTTTCTTGTCCGCTCTCGCGCCCCTCCCTGTCGTCCTTTGTGGGAATGCAAATCGCGAGTGTGTGCGACCGACCAAACTCAATCGCAAAGGGTCAGTAGCCAGTCAGTTTGAATCCGATTGTCGCACCGTGTCCGTCAATAGAGTGCTCTGATTTATTTAGCCAGCAGGGATTATAATTGAGGGTGACGAAATGCTGATCCGGGAAGAAGGAACCAGGTAAAAGTAATTAGCGCAGGCTAAATTATATAATTTTTATCTTAATATTCTTGGAAATACTTCAGAAAGGCGTAAAATGGTTTAAGAATTCCCTATAGTTTGCTAAATTTAATACTAGAATTATTTAATTCCCTAAAAATTAAAAAAAAAAGTGTAATGAGAAACTCTTTGATATAAATTTTGAAAATTTCACTTTTATATTTTCGTCCTTTTATTTGTATGTAATGCAATAAAATTCCTTCCACCGACATCTGTTGCCCTTCAAAATTTTATTGACGCTGAGGCTAGAGGTCACGGGTCACACAACCATGCATTAATTTTATTATTTGTTTGCTCATTGATAAGAATGTGCTGGTATATACGCGTTGACTAAGTGCGCTGGCTTTAGTCTTCGGGCCAAAGTGTCCATCTGGAGACTTTGGGGACGCGTCAGGGGGGTGAAGAAACATGGCACCGCAACAGGCGAAGCAGCAGGAAACGCCTGCGGAGGTGCATCCACAAAGGGTTTCCTCCACCGCCCTTGTTTTGCCGCAGCACGTCAAGTGGGCCGATCTGGGGTAAAAAAATTGCAATTGAGTGCTTGAAAATTTATTACTTTTTGTTTGTATAACCAATTTTTACGTCACTATAGAGAGCAAACATAATATTCTGAAAGTGCCAGAACACGGCTTTGAGAAAAAATTTATTTTAAATGCCCGTATATAAAATTTAATTATGCATCTCAATTTTGAAAATTTGACTTTTAAATTAGTTTTTTCCTTATAGTTTCAGAAAATGAAAATTAAATTAGTCTCAATTAGTCTATGAAAGTGTAAACAAAAACAGAAATGAATATAAACAAAATACAAATAATATTTTTATTAATTTTTGATTAGCTGGTAGCCTAGAGATACTTTTGCAAATATAATTTTTTTGCTTTTCAAATCCTGTAAAATGAAACAAGTAAATTAAGAAATAATATTTTCTTTTGCTTCTGCAAAGCCTTGCGTTGAATACCGTGAGAAATTTTTATTAGACTAAAGGCAAATTTTTCTGCAACGCGTTTGTTACAAAGTAATAATGGAGGCACATATGAAAATTTTCCCAGTAAAATCAATCAAAACACAGTTTCGCTCGCAGTTCATCGCCCAAAAGTGGCACTCAAATGTGTCGTAAAGTCATAAAAGCCGATCGTAAAAAGAAACTATACGCAGCGTGTGGGCGAAGCTTCAAAATGTGAGCAGCCAGAGTTTTATCATATCATACTTTTCATAGCGTGCCCTCTCTTTTTATGTTCATTTCCACATACCAAGCAAATGAGAAACTCATTTTCGCACCATAAACTTATAAGCTAGGGTTGCTCGCATCATGAATTGATAGAAGAATATTTTTCCTTTTTTTTAACTTCTATTCAAAGTTTTAAAATCTTTATTGTATTTGTTCCAGTTGGAGCGGCAATCTTCAGCCTGGCGAAGCGCTTTTGCTGCCTTCGCCGGTGAGTCCCACCGTGGTGCTGGTGCCCAACGATGGTCCCCCACGACAAACTAGTCCCATTAGCTCGAATGACGCCCAGACTCGGACGCACTCGAGGGCCCACTCGGGGGTGCCGTCCGTCTACTCGCACCACGACACAGAGCACGGCACCAGCTCGTCCCACCAGCACCTCATAGTCCAACAGAGACCTGGCTCTAACATGGGGTGAGTAATAATTTCAGCTTCTTTTAATCGAAATAAATATTATACCAGTTTGAAATAAAATTTCCAAAAAAAGAGAAAACAACTAAAAATATTATATTGTTTTAAGATTTTGGTCTTTATTTCTGGACTTTTTTCTTTTTAAAAACAAATTTTTTTATGTTCTACTTATTTAATTTATCTACTTAATTAATTAAATTCAATCTAATAAATACATACATAAAACCGTTTTTTATATTATGTTTTTAGTTTAGTTTTCTTTAAATCCATTTTTTAATTTGACAAAACCTGATACTGTTTGAGTCTGAAAGATGCTTATAGTTTATAAAAATTTCGTTTTATTTTCAAAACGTGTTTATTAGTTACAACAGCCTAAAAATAATTTGAAATGAAACTGGCAATTTCTTATCATTTTATTGACATTTCTGCAAAATAACAATTTCCTTTCCAATGCTTTCCAATTTCCCATCCTTGGCAGAAATATCAACATTGATCAACATCAAATCTCTATTTATCAAGTTCCAATTCTCTGAATTCTCATTTTCTTCAACGGTCGAGTATATTTTTTATTGTTATAAATAAATATTTGGGCAGAGAATGCATGGCGATAAATTAATAAACACAATTGTAACTAAATATTAATATTTTGACCCTCTCGATTTTTCAAATATTTATTTATTTTATTTCTTTAACTTAAACTTGTCATTTTTTTTTTTAAATTTCAGCCTGCGAATAGTGCCAGCCGGTCAGCTACCGCAGGTGGTGTATCAGCAGCAAACCCCAGGACACCCACCGTACCCCCATCACCACCCAACCCTTTGCACGCGTTCGGTGCAATCGCTCTCCAAGGACACGAATCAAGGAAGCGCCACGTGAGTCAAAACTCTGCTCTAGCTTTCCCCACGAACGACACAAAACTGCTTTTCCCGACGAACCAATCAATTTTCGGCCGTAATTAATCGAACTTGGGTGATTTATGACCGTGAGCCATGGGGGTGCTTCCTAACAGCCCCTCGCACAATGCGTGCTCAATCGCACACACCGTCGCCCTTCCGAGCTCAAGGAGGAGCGACGCGTTTTATTGTTTCGCGTTCCCATGTCATTTTTTCCCACTAATTGGGAGGTCGCCCTATCGCTATGGCTTGATGAGCCGCTTTTTCTCTGCAGCCGAGAGGAGCGACGGCGGAAACCTAATCGGTTTTCGAGCTGCCGGGTGGCTTTTGCTCCACTGCGTAAAAATATATATTTCTGGTGGAATCGGGTTTCAAAATAGAGAATGCCGAGCTGAACATATGGCTTGGAACTGGAGTTTGGGGATAAATCTCGCTCAAAAAGCTTAATATATGTTTGTGGGGCCATTCACAGGAGTAATTTTAATTTGTAGAGTGAACGATAAATTAGGAAAAAAACGTCTGAAAAGAACACAAAAATATGCTTAAAGACTGTGCGGTTTTCCAACATCAGTATCACTTTCAATTGTTTTCAATAAAAGTGAGAATTTTCTTAAATTATTGTCGCAATATCAAGCGCTGCCCTGAAATTGTTAAATTTCCATATATTTCTTTGAAAATCAAGCAAACAAATATTTCCAATAAAAAAATGCAAGTTTTCTCTTTATTGTTTGAAGGATTTACACTCGAGGATATGATCGGAACTCGTTCTTCACTTCCAAGTGTCCTCTCTAATACATTAAAAATAAATAAAACATTCTTCAAATTGTAGAGCTTACAACAATTTTAGTTATAAAATTAATTTTAAACGTTATGTTAGATGTTTCCCTTATTTGTAGCTAAACATGGGCTTCCGTAAAAGCCAATGACAATAAAATTTCAATAACTTTTAGACTTAAATACGCAATATATATTTTTGTTGTTTTCGATCAATATCGAATCTGAAAATTTTTCTAAAATAGCATAAAGTAATCTTAGTGCATTTTAAATTTTTTTACAATTCAATGAATTATCCACCAATCAAACATAAAATTAACAATTTTTACTAGAAAAGTAAATTTGTATAGAAAAAAAATAAAGAGAAGAGCCAAGAGTACTTTCAACGCAAATTAAAAAAAAAATTACATATTTTCCCCAAATTTTGTCTGTTTTAGACAATTTTCTTCTATTTTATCAATTTAGTTGATTCTATATTGCAAAAATTTTAATTTTTAAGGTTGACAAAGAGCAGAAAACATCATTAAATTAAATTTTTCTATCTTTCACAATAATTTTTTCAAATGCCTGTGCAATGGGACATTTTCCCCCTGTAATGCCCGAGTCAGCAACTGACAATGAGCACCACTGCACGTCACGTGAAAATGTTTACGCTGCAGCTCTCTACAAACAAGAAAAGAGCACCCTCGAGTCGAATAAACACAGAGAGAGTAAAGCTCGCGTGTTCTCTATGTGTGCTCGCAGTTAAGGCGTCGGCAGCACGTCAGAGATTTCGAAGAAGAATGAAGCAGACCCCGACGCACACACGCACCGAGACAGAGAGACAAACTTGCTCACCCTCACCAGAATAGTAGTTGTCACACTCTCGGCTGCTGTGTACTTATCACCCTCGCCCCTCAAGAAATGACAAATCAACCGACTCGGTTTTAGTCGCAAACTATGTTATATGGCGCTCGCGGGCACATTACACGCCACATACATTTCAGGCGACGGCTGCTTTGCTTTCTTTCGGCAGGGGTGGAAATTTATTTCCCAGGCGTTTTGCTAACAAATGGCATGGCTGTGTGCGTTCGCAATTTGCATTTTGCTGTAACATACAAACGAACGTTCGCTTTTCATTTGCACGGCGCCCCGGCAGGGAGTGTGCCAGGCCTGATAAATAAAAACGTCTGCGTTAATGAATGAATGAATGCCCTTTTGTTTTGCAAACGTCGAGGGCCCTTCGAAACGGAACGCATTGCAAATTAAAATTAGCCAGGTCGTGGCTTTCAAAAACGTATGTGGAGAAACTTTCAGACCTGTAATTTGAACCTTTGGAAATGTTAATCAACAACAAAAATTTGATTTGATTGTAATAAAGATTTAAATTTGAACATAATGAGAGAGAAAGCAATGGAAAATTGAAACAATATAAAGGCTTTATTTAAAATTTTCATTGCCTCTAAGGCGGCTTGATCATAGTTGATAATTTTTGTGAAATTTACAAAAAAATGTATTTAATTAACATTATATTGTTGTGAATTCCTGGTACCTGCTAGTATTATCTACAATAATTAATCTTTGCAAATTTGAAAAGAGTTCTTTTGAGCAGAAAAAATTGCATGTGAAAAGTAGTGTTATTATTTGAAAAAAATCAATGATTTTTTTGTTTAAAAAGAAACAATTATTCAATAAAAGTTGGTAGATTTTTTCTTAAAAAATTCATTATATCGCAGTTTGTAGACAAAAACATCTGACAAAAATAGCTACAGTTAAATATTAAGAGAAAATTTTTGTAGAATTGTAATTTATAGCAGAATAATGTATTTAGTATGATATGTATAAATATAAATTTTTTTAACACAATAAATTAAAAATTAATTATTGGATGTATTGGAAGTATCATTTTAAAGTTTATTTTACAATTTTACTGTATATAAAACATTTTATTTTATTTTAACAAGAATTTTGCATTAGCCACCTTTTTTAGAGTTGATAAGTTAACAAACTTGTCTTAGCACTTCAAGGTATGCAGTTAAAATTAAATAAATACACAGACGCATATTTTAAAACACTACAATTATTCATTATTAAATTAACATTAAGATCTCATTTAAGGTTTGCAATATTTAAAAAATTGGAAATATTTAATTGACGAAAAAAAAGGAATCACTGAAACTCATTATTTAGCTCCTAAAGTGCAATGATGAAAATCACCCCTTAACTGGCCTCTCTCGATGTAATTCCCAATGTCACATTTTCCGAGCGCGTAACACCATCCAACAGATTGCGAAGCTTCATTTTTTTTCATGCGTCGCCGGCGGCCCCTAACAAGCCACCAGGCGCTGTGTCGTGTATTCCATTATTTGCATAAACAGCGTCATTTGTCCACTCCATTGGCGGAAACGTCGAGTGGAACGGCGGCGGCACGCGTTTGAATATGAATGGAACGACCGACACACTTTGATACATTGTGCCGTGTGATTAATTGTCGCCCGCCGTCTGCCGCCAAGAGTGCGATGATAATGTACGGCGTCGTCGAGCGGGCCTGCGACTTGATAGATAATAATAATGGCTGTTAATTGTGGATAATATCTGACCGCCTGAGTGATTCAACCGAACCCATTCATCGCGCTGCGGGCTGCAGATAAAAGCTCGTTTCAATTCCATTGTTTGAATTAGCCCGTGTGGTTTGACACATGGCTATAATTTTGCTATGGTTTTGCGATTTAAACAAAAGTTTAAAATTTTCAATATTTGCTTTTGAAACGAAACAAAGTCAATTAAAAATGCCAATAGAAAAATGGAGAATTTTTTTATTATTGTAGTTTGTAAATCAAATTTATTTCTAAACGCTCATTTTACTAAAATCATCAACTTGGTGAGCGCAATGAGAAAAAATATAAGTATTCATCACTATTCATGTTTGATAATAAGCCTTAAATTGGTCCTAGCCGTGTGTTTGTACAAGAAGAGGCTTAAAAAAAATTAAATTAACCTGAGGAAAAATGTGTGTCTCAATATGTAAATATGATTTCAATTGATTTTTATTGCATTATGAATTTAAATGCAAATAAAAATGGAATAAAAACAAACCTGAAATTCATGTCACTTTTCAACGTTATTTTTTTTTAAGAGCATGCAGAAACAAATGCGTTTCTCTTCCAACTTGCGGGCAAAAGCATCAGAAGCGAGAAAACTCAACTATGTATATTTAAAAAAGTCAATGCTGTATTTTTTCTTAAATTTTATAATATTAAACACACTGAAAAACTGAACTACCTTCAAAAAAGGTTGAAGCGATTTTAACCTCCAGAAAAGTTAAAGGAACCTTCAAAAAGTGTTACTTTTACCGGCGCAACGGTTATTCTAACCTTCTTGTTCAGTTAGACGCTTAAAAGGTAAAATCAACCGTTCTTAAAGGTTGCAGACCTAGCAGCCAACGAGTTTCAGAAGGTGAATTTAACCTTTGTTAGTTGGTAAAAAACTTTTAACCGCCTATGAAGGTAGAATGAACCTAGACACAAAGGTAAAAGTATACTCCAACTCACTTGGTACCTTCGCAAAAAGGTTGACGTGACCTCTGCGCAAAGGTTGCGATAAATAATATTAAATAGTTATAAAAATATATAATTTTAAGAGCTGAGTTTGAAAAATACATATTACTTTTAATAAACAAAGAAAACTTAAATGTCTAAAACTCTAAATTCTGCACACGACTCATTCAAATCTCAATTTTAATTGAAACTTCTAATACTTAACACAGGTTTTAATTAATTAATATTTTAATAGAGCACTAAATTTTAATAATTTTGCATAAATATAGCGGCCAGTATAAATTTTTAATGAATTTTGCAAGTTTTGGCAAAAATTATATTTTTTAACTAAATATGTAAGAGCTACTCTATCAGAAACTTCTCCGTTTTTTGGTGAAGCAAAAATATTATGTTGGTATTTTTTGGTCCTCACAATTTAACACTTTTGGATATGAATCCCAAGTCAATAATAGGAAAAACTATTTCAAAATATTTTTTTTAATGTAAAGCTTACAATGAAAGCTCTGAAAATGTCCATGAAGAGCAAAAAACTTCAAATTTTCATTTTTTTTCTTTCTAACACGCGGCATTTAATTTCAAATAAGCTTCCAACCATCGCTGAAGGTTGGAAATTGCGCCAAAACTATGCGTCCGTTGGCGTTTAACGTCGTGCAAAGGTTGCGCTTACCTTCATGGAAAGTAAATCTAACTCTACAGAAAGTTAAAAATGCACTCGAAGCGCGTCTCTCTTTTGAGCGCCCATGTTAGTTTGCGTCTCTTCTTGTTGTGATCACATCGGTCTTGGAAAAATTTTAAGATTTTGAAGAAAATGGCAGATATTCTTGAAGAATCAGAGTGATTTGCCCTCAAAAAGATGCAGTAAGTATTTTTCGCATATAAATATGCAACTTTGGTCCTGGGTGAGGACTAGTTTCTCATCCCAAGCAAACAACGCAAATACAGCTTGATAGCTAATTATAGAAAATTATTCTTTTATTCCAGGCTAATGTGAGCTATACAAAATTTCATACCTCGATTGTCGCATTGGAACTGTGGATTGATAATTATATGGCAGCTTAAACTGCGCGTGGAAAAATGGAGTACAGGAAAATTAAAGGTGAAATATTTTATCGAAAGAGCAAAATGCCCGTTCTTAAAGAAATATTATTTTATTTTCAGATATTTGCATGCGGACCAAAACGTTCACTTCTATATATCAAAGATCCTGGGTAGTTTGCGGACGACGCTAATTTTCCAATGAAAGGTAATTATCATTTAAAATTTTTGACTAAATGTAATCATATATTTTTTATATTATGGTGAATGAAATTTGGAAAAGAATATAATGTAAATTTCATCTTTTGTTTACAGGCAATAAATTTGTTTGAAAACTCCGATCAACATTGAGAAATTCTTGGAAACTGAAGTTTGAGCTAAAACATTAAATTGTGTGAAGTTTAGTGCGTTTGGTTTGAGTAGTGCAAATCCAGCCGTATTTTCACAAACAGCAGAAGGAAGCTACCGAGAGTCATCGATCAGCAGTGACAACACTAGATAAGTACAGCCCACTGTTAATCTTTTTTTTAATTGTTTTGATTTATTTTTGTCTTTTGGAGTTTGTGATACCAATAAAAACCTGATTATTTTTAAAATGGACTTGTACTATTTTTCATCAACCGAACCTACAATAAAAAGTTAAAGGTTAAAGTAACCTATTTGGACGGTAAAAAAAAGAAACTGAAAAATAAAATACAACCACCAAGTAGAAGTTGGAACAACCTTTATTAACTAGGTTAATTTTACCTTTATAAAAAGGTACGGCGAAACTTCTGAAAAGGTACGCGGTTGCAGCCGCCGAGCGATCCTTTACCTTCGCTTGAGGGTTGTAACAAACGTTCCGATGAAGGTTGAAACAACCGTCTTTGATGGTTAAAATGCCTCGTACCTTGCAAGAAGGTTGTTTTAACGTTTACAAATTATTGACACCCCTGGAACCTTTTTTTGGAGGTTGTTGCAACCTTTAAAAGGTAAAAGAGTTTTTCAGTGCAGGAATGTTATTTTATATTATTTAGTGGCTAAATTTAATTAATTCTTAAGTCTCAAAACTTAAAAGGAACTTATTAAAACAATCTTTTTAGTCAGTCGAAAGCAGTCAAATTGATAAATTTAATTTACTATTGATCTCCCATCTTCATTTTTTACTTAAACTAAAAATTTAATTTTTGTTTCCAATGTTTGAAATGAAGGAATAAAAAAGAAATTTAAATTAAGTAGATTTTAAAATCAAATTCTCATTGGCAAGCAAAGGCAGTTAAATTGGCTGCTGTGCTGAAATTCGAACCAGTCAAGGCCAAAACATATGTTGTGCCGTTTGGAAGGTTCAATCTTTGAAGCATGTAGATGTTGGGCTCGCATGCCATGGCTGGTATCGTCGCGTACTTGTTTTGGTAAACTGAAACATCCAGCTGAACGCCCGTTCCACACCAAAACTCTTTCTGATAGCCTAAGGCCTTGACTTCTGATATGTACAGGTAGCCAACGTTGCTTGCTGCAAATAATTTTTTCTTTTTAGAAATTGCATGTGATTCCTATATAATAGATTACAAAGAATTGATGCAGTGGAAACAATGAAATCATTCAACTCAGTTGAATTGCGGAATTCAATAAGTTTCATCCCAATTGAGCAGCAATAGTTGTAAGGCGCCTCAATATTTGTCTGCAAATTGTCCACGAAATGAAAAAATTAATTTTTTTACATTAAAAAGATGCAGTTTTTAGTATTGTTTACATTGTTTGAACTAATTGACAGAAAAATACGTTTGTTGTAAAACTTGGTCCAGATTAAAGTTCCCATAGAAGCTGCAAAATAAGTGTGATAAAGAGAAATCAGAGAAAACTAATTTAATACTCTGATTAGAGTTGGTCAATTCGTTTATCAGCGTTGGCTATGAATAACAAACATTGATAGAAATCACAAAAAAATTAATATTTCTCTAACATTGGCTACGCAGGATACCGAATTTGCTGTTACACACGATCTCAAAACTGGCACACACTCGATTGGCGGAGTGAGCTGCGAATAAATTTGCATAAGTGATGACTATTTGGAATAAATTCAGTTGAATATTTGACCACGACTGGACTTCCTTTTCCTACATTGACCATGTTCTGCGTGATGTTCGGCATTTTTTCGACGCCGCAGTCGTAAGTCCTGGCGGCCAAATCACACTCATCATTGCCAGTCACCGTAGAGCACTGATCGTAAACTTTGAAGCCCTGGTCCATTGTACTCGGTGTGTCTTGCGTCACTAACTCCATCAGTTTCAACATTTGGCTCGGATCAATTTTGCCGTCGAAAAACTAAGCAGTGATTATAAACCCTAATTCACCCAAAATATAAAATATTTTATTCAAAAACTCGCCAGATTTCTGTCCTCTCCAATGCATTTCATGAAGCACTACAAAAATTATTTTATATCGGATCAAGGTCGTTAAGTATAAAAATTTTCTCTGGGGAAAGCTAAGATGCAAAGATTATTTACATATTTATATTTTTTTTACTTTTTAACATAATCTTATTCCATTGAATGATAATTATATATTTGAAAGAAATATCATTGAAAAAGCCTTTATAAAATTCAAGTATATTTTGTACCTTGAGCCTTTGCGTGTAATTCCTGGAGCCGAGGAAGAGCAAATCGACGTCAGCTTTGCAAAAAAAAGTCAGTTTGGCGAACAAAATTGATTGCAAAGATGCTTGCCTTGCGTGATGTCCCACATCGCCATGCACTCGGCTTGCATCCCATCCAATTCAGTGCCTTTCTGTCTGCCTTCGCACACGAAATTTCTTTTCTCAGTGCAATTGGTAATTGTCAGCACCGACAGCTCGGTCCCGTTCCTGTCCACCTCTAATGAGACGCACTCGCCCTTTGCCAGCTTTGGCTCGCCGCTTTTCCAATTGACGTATTTTGGGACGAAATTCGAGCCTTTCGAGCACCAATAGAACTTTTCGCGGCAGTTGGTGTTTGTTCCCGAAGTCCAATAAATGCCATTGAGGACAAGCATGGCGTATTCTGTTAATTACAAATGAAATTATAAAATCGAGAAGGTAACTTTCAAAACCTCTATTGCGTTTCGTCAAGCATTTGTTCTTCTCCAGTGAATCAAGTGACAACAATGACATTCCGATGGAATTGCACGTTTTCCACGCAAATGTAAAATTTGCCTATTGGTAAAAAAAAATTAAAAAAATATTTTCCTGACCTCATTACTTTTACCTTTGTTATTGAAAACATGTAAATTCGACCACAGGCCGACACCCACCCGCCGTACTTGTAAATATCTGAAAGTGTCCAGTTTTTTGTAGTATATATTTTTTAATAATTTATTTTTAAACCTATTAGCGTCCCATTGGCGTCAAAAAGACTCTGCTGTTTAAGAAAATTCAATCAGAACTTGGGAATTTTTCTTCTTAAATAATGACACAGATAAAAAAATTTAACATAAAAGCCTAAACGTGGCCAAAGCTAACTAAATTTATATAATGTGATATAGGCTCATAATTATATGAACTCTTTAAAGTCTCATTTTAAAACATAAATACATTTTAGGCAGAAAAAATTAATGCAAATATTTACATTTCTCGGGGTTATCATTGGGCACGTTGGCTGCGAACAAGGTGGCTTTTCAACGTCATTCGGATTGGCCTTTATAGAATTAAGTTGATTAGTGACTCATAGTGAGTTTTTTTTTCACTAATTAATTCTTATTATACTTCGCACAAAAAGATGTACCGACTTGTGCAGTTTTTGTCTGTCAAAATCGCTCCAGTGTCGTTCAGAACGAATCTGAGATGTACGCATTCCTCTTGCCCACCCTTGTTGTCTGGTTGGCCCTTTTCCCACCTCAAACCGTCTCTCAGGGGTGGAATTTCGCCTTCAGGGTCGCACCACGACCACTGACCGTCGCAACCCTTCCTCGTTCCCGCCGTCCAATAATTGAAGTTTAACCTTCCAATGCCTCGATTATAATTTAGAATCATTTTCGCATTTTCTTCTATTTACTCACCCATGACAATGTTCTGCAGGCAAAATTGCTCCTCGTAGGTTTCAAATATTACCGGCCTCATCCCTAGCCGACAGCACATATTCCAATTTTCCTCCCAGGTTACCTTAAATCAAAATTCATGAGCTTCAAAACTGTTTTGAATATTTTCTCTTCCGCACCGGTGAATTTCCAAACAAATATTTGCTGCCGCAACTTTGAGTCCAAAATCCGTACGAGAGAGGGTCTTTTAAAGCTTGAAAATTCTAAACTCTTATTAATATTTCAACAAAATATTCCAAACCTATTAATGTTTTATTAGCGTAAAATAGAGAGTCCTGAAGAAATTGTTATAACAAATTTTTATTTCAATAATCAGAAAAAATTAATTAATTAAATTAATTAGGTTTACGTCAGGATCGCAGCTGGATGGGCAGTTGGGTTTTTGACACGCCGGCTAATTTTTTATTATTTTATTGGATTTTTTACTTCAATAATTTAGACCTCGCAAATATACGGAAAGGTTCTCTGACAGGAAAGGTGCTGCAGACCTTTGCTTTCGGTGGTTGTCCGGTTGAATTTGAAGAGCAAACAACGGTCGGCCGTTTTATTGCTTGGCATCGCGATTGACCACAGCGAGTTATTCGGACTCATCGTTGGTGAAAATTCCGCCGACAGCAAAGTATCATTCAAAGAGCACCAAGAGTAAACCTTGAAATCATCGCAACGGTCACCTTCGTTGGCGCCGCTTGTCCAGTAGTAACTGAAGCTTGGATAAGCTTTAACCAGATCTGATTTCAATATATTTTTTTAATTTCTGAATAGATTGATTAAATATTTAACACATTTGAATAAATTTAGGAGGCATCTGAATTCAAGAGGGCTGTCTATGGACAACAAGCTCAAATTTTTTGCCTTGCAATACGTAGCCGCAGTTGAAAGAGATACCTAGAAGCATAATTATTTTAATTTGTGCGAATTGATTTAATTATAATGATTGACCGATGTTCCGCCCGCAAAATAAGAGCGACCGCAGGAAGTGAACGCGGAACCAGCAATGGAGGATGCTGCGGATGTGGTACAATTTTCACGTGAATATATAATCATATATTGTGTGCGAGCTATCAATTTGAAATTCTAACTGCGTCAGAAATAATTGAATAAGTAGTAGTTACTCTAATAATGTTAAATTATTTCTTTGAAAATTTCACAGTGCAATTTTATCGATTTTCAATGAAGATTGACTTACGAATGGGCGTCTTTGCACTGAGCTTAACAAAAACATTAGTTTTTGTTCACATATAGCACAAAATAAATTTACCATTTTTCCAAAACTCTGACAGTTAAATTTGGCTAAACAGGGCTGAAAGATTTACGTTTAAGAAAAATGAATTACATCATTAACTTGTTACTTGAGGCCTGGTGGTTGTGGTAATTTTTGTTGTTGTTGTCCTTGTGGTAGTTAACCTGGTTGTTGTTAATGTTGGACTGGTGGTTTTTATAGATGAACTGATGGCTGTTTTAGTCGGACTGGTGGTTGCTGTTGTTTCCCTTGAAATAGTTGTCGTCTCCATAGTGGTGGAACCATTTTCTTCGATACTAGGAGTTGTTGAAAATGTGACAGAAGCTGTGGTCGAATATGTTGTCGAATAAGAAGAGCTAGTTGGCTCACTTGATGCATCCAACTGCGTTCATAGAAATTTATAAAAAGTATTTTTTTACTAGGAATATATTATTGACAAAAATTAATAATGAAATTTTAAATATTTAATTACCGTTGTTACAGTTGGTTCTGGTAATGTAAGTACGGGGGTTTGCTGTATTTCTGTTGTACTTTCGGGTTGAGACTAGACAGGATCGTTGAAGGACGTTGTAGAAAATCGATCTGATATTATATATTACCGAAGTTGTTGAAAATGAAAGTTCTTCTCTGGTTGCAAATAGCGTCTGCTCGGTTGTTTCCTGCTCCGTTGTTTCAACTTCTTTCATTATTGTGGTGGACTTTTAACGGATATAAGCTCTTAATTGTTAAAAAAGCTAAACAATTCATTACATTCGGATGCTTTTTAACGTTGGTGATAGTCGTTTTTTTGGTTAACGCCGTCGTCATCAATTTTTTCCTGGTTACGTCTGAACACCTTCTATTGCCGCAGCATCTTACAATCACCAGTCTTTTTGAATTTTTAAAACGCGCAGCCACTATTCTTTTACGTTAAACCACCCCTAATTTTAGTTTAAAATACATACTAGCTGATGGTTTTGATATTAAGTCGACTCGTCCGTGATTCTTGTTTGCAAGGACTACAGGCTGAAAATTATATAACAATTCCATATTGCGATTATAAACATTATCTTCAAAAATAATTATTTCATAAATTTTCCCACTTGCAAATCATATAATTATGTTCTCATTTCAAAAATACACATTTAGACAATAAAGCTTTCTTACCAAAACCAAAATTAGGGCAGTCACAAGCAGTATTTTCTGTGCTTTTATCATTCTCATCAGCGGAATTTTTACTTCTGAAGGCCTCTAAATTCTATATAACGCAACCTTATAATAAATGAAGGTTAAAACACGAAAATAAATATGCCTTTGTAGTCTAGTTTAAAAATTTAAGCGCTTGCCATGATATGCAGTAGATTGGTTTCCACACAACTGTACACACGTCAATTTGCAAATAAAACTAACATATTGAATTATATTACTTTTTCCTGGTCTCTCTGTGCAGGAAGTGTGAGTAGGGGTAATTATTGACCGAGCTTTATTTTACTATCACAGAATTCCTCGTATATAAAATTATATTAAAAATTTCTCTGCTAGGTTTGTTGTGTGTCTGCTTAAATTAGTTTGGGGTCAGATTCATTGCATTATTTTTACTTTTGCTAAAAGAAAAAAGGTAATAATTTCGATAAAGAAAAATGGAACTGAAGCACAGCGTAAAAATTGACTTCTTTGTAAGTGTTGCAAAAAAATGAATTATGATAAATAAATAACAGTGGGCACTCGGAAAAAAGCAGAAAATTGCAAAATTTTCACTCGGAGCTGGGCCGGAGTTACCCTTATTTATTATTGTATTTATTTATTGTATTAATAAAGATTATAAATAATATTTAACTTATTCTCAATTGTATTGATCTGAATTTCTAATAAATAAGTCTCATGTCTTTGTTTCAGTGACGCATTGACTACAACCCTTTCAGCCCTGTACGGCAAACTCCTAGTGGTCATGGGCATCGCTTTTCCCATGGCCGAAGTCATTTCAACTTATGTGCCACCCTCGTTCTACGAGGTGAGTTGGCAAATAATTTTTCAATTTGCAGGCGACGATTTCTCTCCGTAAATTTGTTTTCCAGCCCCCCAATGATACATTTCCAATTCAAATGAGAACGAATAATTTTTTTCCATGTCCGCAGGGGTTCTACCTCTACCTCTACTTCGGCAGCATGTTGTTCCTGCTGTGCATGTACGCGACGGTGCTGCGACCGAAGCCATCTGCTGCAGCGACCAAGAAGTCAAAAAGTAAGCGAGTTTCGACCCCGAATTTGATTTTCCGCCAGTAAACGCGGCACACACAGGGGTGCCCCGTCGCGATAATGCACTTTCGGCTGCACTTAATCGCCGGCCCCGCCTCTATATTAAGATCACCCTCGGCGATAGACACGTTTCGAAAACGTGCGTCCAGTTTCTATTGCGTTCGTGTCGCTGCATTGCTAAAGAGGGATTGGAAAAATAATTATTATTCAGCGGTCGATGCGTATCTCGTGTAAACCACGCTCTCGTTTTTGTTAAATTAAAATGGACCGAAAGGGCTGTTGTTTGCGCTTTTCCTCACACGCTTGTGTGCGTTTTGATTGTTTTTGACGCCACGCGAGTGTGAATAAAACGATTTCTGATACAGGCCGGCACACTTTAGTTGTTCTGGAGGTACAAAATTCATGGTTTCGGATTCATATCGGATTGGGATGGGATATGACTCAAAATGAGGACATAGTAAATGTTTTAAAGTTATTTAAAATTAAAAAACAAAAATTTATTAAATTTTTTTATTTTACTTCTACTTGTGGAAATAAATTTAAAATTATTTGGTTTTTTAATATTAAAAACTTTAAAATTATTTAAATATAAAATATTAAAGAAACAAAATCGTTCTTCTAAGTTTTTCCAGTTAAACTTCTTTCATTCACAGAACACAAAATTAATAATAATTTTAAAAATGCAGATGGAAGAAAATAATTTAAAAACTAAAGTAAATTTGAGTAGGATTTTGGAAATTGTTCTGAGCGGTATTATTTTAATTCAAAACAATCATTTCAAATAATTCAAATAGGTGAGAATTGATACAAATTAATGCAAATTAATCAACCTAAATATAATCTAATACAAAAAAATAGCTTTTTATTAAGGAATTTTTTCACCTAAGGAGCTGTTTAAATTTTATGGTAAAATGCATAATTATATCTCGTACGTAGTAAATACATAATAACTTTCCCATAAAAACACAATATTAAGGAATAGCGAATTTTTTTTAAGTATTTCTTTATATCATTATAACAAAATGTGACCAAATAAACAAAAATGAAAAATTATCTTGGAGAAAATTAAAAAAAATTGGATGGGACTTTTAATTATTACTTATTATTATTCTTCTTGTTCAATATAATAATGCAAATTATTAATTAATATGTCTTTATCAATTTTTAATACCTCACGAATAAAATAAAATGATATCTAACTTATTAACAAAATGTACAGCATTTAAAGGAGGAGAAACTAGGAGAACTTATAATTAACACCTAACGTAGGCCTTTAAACTTTTAAGTGGCACTTTCCGCCAGAGAACGTCTTCCAATTCCAACTCTGCCAGTTTGTCGATGCACTTTCAAACAAGTTTGAAAGTTTCCGAAGTGATAATTTCACGCCAGAAGTGAGTCTGAATCGCTGAGTAGGGTGTCTCTGCTCATCCGCATTCGCTTTGAAATTCTCCCTCTTCGTCTCGGGACTGCAAAACTCAAAATCAAACTGACGTTACGCAGGGTGTGTCTCAAGAGTGGATTAAGAAAAGATCCAGAAAAAGGTGCAGCGTCAAGTTCACGGGGGGAGTTTTTTTTTCAAAGTGAATGCGCCGAACGTGAAAGGGAATTCCGAAACGTTAAAAATTTATGGCCCACGGATAAGTAGCAATTTTTGCATCCCCCTGAACGCAGCAAGCATTCGATAAATCAGCCATTACAGAGCCCCTTTTGCAAACAACCAGGGGTGTGCTTTGCGGCGGCAGGGGTTGTTCAACTGCTACCGGGTGCAAAAACGCGTTTCCATGACTTTGCGAAAAGAAATCAGACTGACCCGTGCGCCTAAATGGAGCGTTTCGAATCGAAGGGGGATTAAACAATCAATTTCGGCCAACTGATGACTCGGAGCTCAAGCAAGGGGGCCCCGCCAAAGTACACAAATTTATTTGGAATTGAGACGTTCTAACCCGCTTGCGTTTGTTGCTTTCTCCCCTAATGAGAAAGAGAAAGGGAAACCTTCGAGTTGACTCTGCCGAAATTTATCGCGAAATAAATTCTTGCTGAAAGTTAATGGGATGAGCTTTATCGTGTCTCTTGAGCCCGCATGGTATTTTCATCTAGCATAAGAGAGGATGATGGTGATTGCGATTCATTGCTCCACATGGCCTAGTAATTAAAAAGTAGAGCTTTGCAGAATAAAAATTGATTTTATTGTAAGTGCAGCTACGAAAGAAGTGCGAACAAAATACTTTTCTCCGTAGAGTGAGAAAATTTTGATTAAAAAAATATGATCAATATTGATTTTAATCTGACTTCACTTTTATTTGAATTTAGAATTATTTTAATGGAAAAGAGATAAAAATTACAAAATTGAATTATTGCTTAAAAAAAGGCACCACCCTATAATACGAGTATTGCTTCAAGAGCAAAAAAAAAACTGCGGCACGGAACATGAATAGATTCTGAGATCTTAAAATAAACATCTAAAATATTATACATTCAATTGGGATTTTTCATTTTCACTTGGTTCGAAATTATCATCAGAAAAGTTTCATCGGACTTAATCCAAACTTAATGATAAAAAAAAATTAATTCTCCATGTATTATAACCATTTTTCAGGAAGAGAAAGGAAAGCGTCCGGATCTGACTCGCCTCAGTCTGACACCGAAGGCGGAAGTTCAGTCGGCAGTTCCTCCAGTTCGGCGTCGACACCCACCAATGTTGAAGAAACGTCAAACAAAGCTGGCAGTAGCAAGGGCAAGAAGCCCACGACTGAAATTAGCGCGTACACGACTATTCGTCAGCCACACTACGGCAGTTTTTACCTACGAATGGGCGCAGTTGGTAAGTTTATTTAAACATTATATTTAAAATTAAACAATATTATTTACATTTTGTTTTCATATTATTTCAAACTTTTATAAATAGATTTTAAATTTTAAATTTTGCATTTTACTTTTTAATTCGATTTGACATTAAGCTTAGAAAAGCGTATTTCTAAGACAAATTTTTTTACTAACCTTTTTTGAACAGAACTTAAATAAAAAAATTATAAAACGGCACATGGTAAAGTAAGAAAATTTTTGTTTACAGTCAAAATGACTGGTTCTTTGATTTTTGGTCTGATGGGAAATAAAATGTAATGATGAACATTAATTCTTAATTAATTATTACTGGAAATTGGTCAACTTTATACATTTATTGAAATGTATTATTAAATTCCAAGAATTATAAAAATGAAATCATTACAAAATTTTTGTGGATGAAAATGTAAACTCTGAGAGAATTAATTAATTAATTAATTTTATTTTAATTAGTATAATGAACTACATTAAAATTTTAATAAATGTGTCCAAATTCGGTGCCACGTCATTGTGAGTTCATTAATTTCACTCCCCTTGCATCTGCATAATGAAATCAACGAAGCATAACAGACAAAGAGTGCACTGCTGCAGTGCCATAATATAAAATTTCAAATAAAGAATGTGTCTGCTGCATGCGATTGTAAAAAATTCACATTATTCACATGCAACACACGTTGCCAGGCAGCCGCTTTAACAGTGGTTGTAATAATAGAGGGAATGCAGTCCGACCGCCCCGCAACTGCAAAATGCATATAAATCAGCCGTGAAACGCAAGCACAGAGAGAGCGGAGAAAATAAACGTTATTATCCGTCTGCGGTTTAATATCAGTTTTAAAAAAAATGGTTCCCCGTTGGTTTTGTTGCAGCTTTCGGCATCGGCAGCATGATTTACTCTGGACTGGAGTTCGGGCAGTATTTCGAGCTGGAGCGCAACACCAAGTGCCACAACGTGCTGCTCGCCCTCACACCCGCCACCAGAATGGCTTTCATCTTCATCCAGATGTACTTTATCTTCCTCAACAACGAGGTAAATAACTTTACGGCGCCATAAATCGCACACATACTTTACTCTTAATGGCCCTTGCACGCTTTTTATGTCAAAGAGAAGCGGCCGAAAATGTGGGAGATTTCTCAGATGATATAAAAGGCAGCGCGTTCTTTGTACTTAAATGACTAATGTAAGTTTTATTGTTGTTTACGAAGACTGTGCAAGAACGCCATCGGTTTTTCCAATTTGATAATAAATTATTTAATTATTTTAGACATTGTATCTTTGCCAATTACGATTTAAATGTGCAAAATGGGCAAAACACGATCTTTTTTAGGGAAAAATTTTTTATTTTTATTTTTTAAATTTATTTTTAGATTTTTGGTCACTTTGATTCTTTGGAATTATATCTATGCTTCTTCTTATACGTAAACACTAGGGTTTAGAATATATTTTTTCTTTTTTTCTTCTTGTTTTAATAAAGATAGAAAATTATTTTGAATGGTTAGTCATGACTTATGACCTTTTTTTCTTGGAGTTAACAATAAAAAAAAGAGTCTGGGAAAAATTATCATTTTTTAGCTCAAACTACTATTCCTGAAATACATGGGTATGCAATTAAATAAAATACAAAATTCAAGCCAAAACAATTTTTTCCTTTGTGAATCTTGTGCTCCAAATCTAAGTGGCAGTTTTCAAATTAAATTAAGTTTTGCACATATTTAAAACGAAAAAAGTAAAAAAATATTTCCTAGAGTGAAAAAAACAGGCTTAGTCCTTGTTGACATTATTTTACCAATAGTGAGCCCTTATCTTGGGTACTAATATTTGAATTAATCAAGAATTACATTTACACTTTGCTTTCTTTTATACCTTCAACATTTTTGAGATCTTTATATATCAAAATAAAATTTCAATTGCGAAACACGTGGCACACTAATTAAAACAACAGTCAGGCCAATTTGGAGTGGCGCAGGAGTGCTCATTTAATTAATTGGACTCAAACAGTCAAACGTGACTAACCAACTTGTTTGCCTGTCACAACTCCGTCATTTACAAACACACACTTGTATATCTCAGCACCAATTCACGTTTCAATTACCGTTCAATTTCAACGCCATGTTTGTTTAAAAACCACACACTTCAAAAGTGGAAAACAAACAAATTGCGGTCCAGACTGGATGCGCCAATAATAATTTTGCTTAATTTTACACGGTGATGCCGTCATCGAGACCGACTGAGTGCGTTGCTGTCTGTTGAATTGTGGCTTTCGCGATTGAATTATTTCATTAAACAAACAAACAAGCTGGCGCACGCACGTCAATTTTCAACAGCCGAGGCACAAAAAGGTTGCGCGGCGCCATGTGGTATTCGAGTGGAAGGAAAACAAAGGGTTGCGAATATTCAATATTTTACATTCACTTCGATGGGAAAAAGGAGGATGCAGCGTTTTATTTTGATAAATGTTGTTTTTGTGACCTTTCCGCAGCACCGCAGTGCCTAAATTAAAGAATGATCTATTTTAGTCGGAGTTCAATATAAATATCCTGGAAATGTCAGATATTGTAGCTTAAAATATATGGTTATTTTTGCTCTGTGGGTTATAATGCAACTGTTTATATAACTCTCTGAAATCCAATATTCAATACCGTTTAACCTTCCACGTTTATTGGGCATCATTTACAAATATAAACATATTGGTTACATTAATAAAAGTTGAGACTTTTATTTATTTCCACAGTTTGATTAACGATAAAAATGAAAACGAAAATATATGGTAGAATTACAATGAAAATGTTTTAAATGAATTTGCTATGTGAAAAATAAATATAAAACTTTAATTTTACACTTTTAATCAAAGAATTTTCGTGATTTTTTTTTCAGATGAGGGTGTACAGATCTCGATTGATCGCGAGGTTCGGCTTGATGCACATGATTGGCACCAACTTGTCTGTGTGGCTGAACGTGCTGATCCAAGAGACCAAGCACGAAATCCTGCTGTTCTACAATCCCGAAAATAAAACACTCGCCCTCAATGCGCACCCCAAGCAGCAGCACAAAGGTGAGTTCAGTGACCTTTATATTATTTTCAAATTGTTCTTTGATACTCATTTACTCTAAATAAATTAAGTATAAAAATTAACAAATTAGTGAAAAAAATTGGGCATTAAATTTTACTCACCCCAGTTATATTTGATATAAAATTTGCGGAACTAATCACCAAATGTGGAGATACTGAAGATTATAATCTACCTTCCATACTCTGTGCAGACTGCAGATGCTTTTTTTCCAAAACAAAATCCAATTGAGACACCGATGAGTGCTTTATTTTTTTGCACGGGTGCATTCCGCACATAATCCACCTGCCAATTTGCACTCGAGCCGCCTTTTCTCTCTTTCGCTCGCAGTCTCTTTGTTCGCGAAACGCCTGATGCACGCCGCCCCTTAAGTGGCCCCATTACTTTGTCTTCGCGCCACCATTGTTCCCGCGAGTACCAACTGCGAGGGTGCACACGTGAGGCAGCCGTCTCGCGAATGCAACCATTTTCCTGCTCTCTGATCGCGTTTTCCGCTTCGCAAAGTGCGCGGCGCCCGCAGCAGCATTTTGCACACAGCCGCGGGCACCCTGCACTCATCCCTCGTGGCAAGAGTTGAAATGATTTTGCTCTCACCATTTCTACCTTTTTTCTGCTTCGTTGAATATCAGGGCAAAAGTAAACTTTTATCAAATTTTCCGTTATTTTCCTTGTGGAGCCAGAAAAAAAATTCACTAAATTAACATAAAAATTCATTTCTTTGCTATTTTTCAATCTAGTATATATATTCTCAGTTTAAATGTATTTTTGGCCTTATATATTTGACCAAAAAACAAAAAAATACAGTAAATCGGGCAATATAAGAATTATATAAAATTATAAAGTATATTATAAAATTTCCTGCTTATTGAGTTGTAAACAATTTTACTTTTACGTTATTTAAAGACGTTTTAATTTAAAAATTGAATTTATTTTCCGTTTTTCAAGTTCATATTAACTAGATTTATAGTTATACCTTCAAAAATGGAAGCTTTAATCTCAATAAGCAACTAGATTTTTAAACGGGAGTAATATTTTTATATTTGAAAATCTGTATTTGAATAAAAACAACCGGGTTTTCAGACAAAATCTACTGAAATCTGAAATTGATATTTCGAATGCAAATTTATCACAGTAAAAAATTTTTCAAGAAAAAAAAATAACTTTGTTTTTTCTCTCTTTTTTTAGCCCTTCTGCACAGGGTTGCCCGAGGTCTGAAGGGTCCGCACCACATTTACGAGTGCCGGCGGACGAACATCATGGGCTCGTTGGTGCAGGACGCGAGTCCCTTCCTGTTCCCGTGCACCATCGAGTACAGCCTGATCTGCGCCGCCATCCTCTACGTCATGTGGAAGAACATCGGGGTGCGGCCGGACCGGGTGGGCGGCCAGCAGGAGGCCACGCAGCACATCCACCTTTCGCACACGGGCAGCATCAAACGCTCGCCGCACCACTACTCGGTGGACTGCGCCCGCGCCCACAAGGGACTCTTCGTCGGCATCCTCGCCCTGGTGCTCACCATCATCTCGCTCATCTTGTTCTTCGTCCTCATCAGCAGACCAGAACTCAAGGCCCTCGCCGTCATGGAGGTCAACATTTGCGAACTCACGCTCTACTTCTCGGCAACCGTCGCCACCCTGTTAGGAATGTTGCAGGTATTTAAATAAAAACTTTATTAATTTAATCTTTAAATCTACAAAATATATGCATAAATCGCTTACAATGAGATAAAAAGCAAAGATTCCTCACAATATAATAAGTAGACATGAAGGTAAATATTTTTTTAATGAAATTTTATCAATTTATGCAATTTTTTCAATTTCTGAATTTCCATGTTTAATTCATCTATATTTAATTAATTTTATTTATTTAAAACTAATATGAAACAAATTTTGTTTATAAAATATAGTTGAAAAAAATACAGCTGATATGCTGTAGTTAAAATTTTTATTAAATAAAAATTTTATGCGTTTCACACGCATATTGAGTAACTCAGTAGGCAAATTAATTTAGAATGAAATCTGGACTTTTTAAATCAACTACGCGCGGTTCTTTGGAAAGAAATTTTAGAGAGATTTATTGCTATTATTATAGTCTTGGATAAACATTAATTTGTACAAGGAGGCTCAACAATTTTCTGCGTTGAGATCATTTTTCAAAATTTTCACTTGAGAAACGTGAACAGCCCTTGGCAAACTTTTCGCAATTGAAAGTGATGGCGTTCATAGCTCCAACATTTTATTTTCACGCAGACCCTCTTTTTCCACAAAGTCGACTTTCTGTCACACTTCAATTTCGCTCCAATAAGCGTTCGTCAAAACTTTCTCGTCAGTCAGGCTGTTTAACAAGATGTGTGCTGGAAACACAGAGGGTAGGATTTATATTTTCCAGCAATATCAGCAGCGAGCTTGTTACGGCCATAAGGCTGCACCCTTCCTCTCTTTTGCCCTGCTCGTCTCTCTTTCTCTTTTTCTCGCTTTTCCGCCCACCGATTTTCCATTACGTCCTCGCCCTCTCCGCAACTAACCAAATATACAAACTCCACTCTTTTCAGCCTGGGGGTTGAAATTGAAATCATTTGCGTTTAGCATCAAAATTATTCTCTTTGATGGATCCGCACACACGCGGATGAAATCGATCTGCAATTCAAACATTAGTGGAGAGCGTCTCCCCTCAATTATTTAAACGAGCAAAATGACTAAAAAAAATCCCTTATGTAAAAAGTTTTTGATCTTTAATTGAAATTCCCTTCAACTTGTTAAAAAAAGTCTTATTGATTAATGAATTGGGAATCCAACTTATTCCTGTGGCAATATAATTGCTTTAAATATTTGAAATTTAAATTAATAATTAATCGACTTTGGCTTGCTGATAACACTGAGTTTTTCTTTATCGATTGCTCGTCCTTTGCTTGGTATTGGTGATTGAGTCGTGCTGCCAGAGCTAGCCGACGTGTGCGAATCTACAACTTTCTCCTCGGCTCGCGGCCTCCGTGTGGTGCGTAACAGGTCCATTCGAAGAAAGCACCGATCGCGCGCCCCACCCTTTCTAGCGAATATTGACCCAGATTTAGCGACTCGAAGATAATTTAATTCTCACTCAAAATTAACTGGGGGCGTAGCTCAGATGGTAGAGCGCTCGCTTAGCATGCGAGAGGTACCGGGATCGATACCCGGCGCCTCCAAAAATCCTTTTTAATTCACTTTTCTTGTAAATTTCAAAGTGAACTAAAAAATATCACTAATATTAGCCAATGAAAACATAAATTTAGCATAAATTTTTTATGTTTGTTCAAAATAACTTAAATATTATAGCAAGTTTTTAAAACTAATTTATTTTTATTTTTTAATATAAATTTAATTATATTAAATAATATAAAAAATATAATTTTGGAATGTTTCATACATTTCTTTTTTTAATACAATATTAAAACAAATTTGTAAAAATTTAAAAATAATATATAATTTAATAAATTGCATAAATAAATTCTGTGATTCGCAAGGTTATAATGTCAAACGAAAGTAATATTGATAGGCGAAACTCACTTTTCATTTATCTACATTTTGCATTGGAAACAAACATATTTTATACTAATTATCATAATATATGTTTTTTAAAAATTTTCAACCAAATCTGAACAAATATCTTATTTCTGAATTTTTTATTAATTAACAACTATGATTAAGACCACCAATATAGACATAATTGTAAAAGGTAGAAAATCCAGAAAATTAATAGCAGGAAAAATATTGACTACGGGTTTCAGTAAAATAGATCCCATCTCTTTTTATTGATGTTCATTATTTTTTTCAAACTTTGAATTTAACAAACAAAAATCAATGTAATTTTTTTCAGATCCGGGAGCTCCGTTACGACGGCAGCCGCAACCTGGAGTTGGACAACATTCTGCTGATTGCCGCGCAGACGGGCATGTTCATCTACTCGACGTTCACGGTGATCGGCGGCCACTTCACCATGGAGAAAAACACCGCCCTGGTGCTGATCACGGCGATAGCCTCCCTTGCGCAGACCACGTGCCAGACCATGTTCATCCTGGACGCGTCTCGGCGCAGCTGCTCGTCGGCGCGGCAAATCCGACGCAAGCCCGGCCGACAACTGGTCACCTTCCTGCTGGTGGCCAATCTGGCCATGTGGGCCGTCAACACGCTGGAGAAGTCGAGGGCCGAGTCGCACCCCGTGCAACTCCACTTCTACGGCCTCTGGGCTTGGACCATCATCACGCACGTCAGCATGCCGCTGGCCATCTTTTACCGCTTCCACTCGACCGTTTGTCTCTTCGACATCTGGAAACGCGCGTACAAGCTTAAGCCTGTTTATATGTAAATCCCATCAGATTATTAATTTAATTTATGCAGAAATATCACAATTCAATAAGGATGTGTGGAAATTTCAAGCAGGCTGCAAGTATTTAAAAGATATAAAGATACAATAAGATAAAATATATTTTTTTCCTTTTTTTTTGCAGTCTTTTAAATATTTCAAATATTTGAAAATCGAAACCAAACTGTTTTTAAATTATTTTTAGTGTTTTTTTTTTATATTTAATTGATTTCACATCTGGCCTGCTTAGGATTCTGAATGTCCACCAATATAGAAACCAAAAATATTTATCTCTGCATATCTCTCCCCTTTAGGATCTCCATGAACCATAGCCTTATTCTTTTCTACTCTCATATATTTTAAAAGAACTTTTTGATATGACTTTTACAAAGCAAAAAATACAAACCTCTCGCCAATATTTTTTATATCCCGAATATTTTGAGGTATAGAACGCAGACAAAATGAACAAATCCGACTGACCCAGAGCTTAATTGATGCAGCACTCGTTTCAATTTCATTTCATTCCTTCCAAAAGCACTTCTTCTTTCACATTTCACACAAGGGTTAAAAACCCAGCACGCATTCAATTTTTTTTCCTAAAAAGCGCACATACACAGCAGAGAGAAAGAGAGGAAATGAAATTTTGGTAGGTTTCCATCCACACACATACTGCTCTGCTCAGGGGGTGATGAGATTCTCATTCATCAGTCATAAAACATTCCGAAAGAGGAAGTAGCGTGTTGTTGGAAAGAGCCTTTTTGTGCTCTCACATCTGGGTTGTGCACGGAGGAGAGTGGCTCTCTTTTAATCAGTCAAATAAATACACAGAAACCCACCAGTCTGACAGGGATGCTCTTTCTTTATATATAGATGTGTGCAAGTCCCTTACGAAAAAAAAATAAAAGCAGAGTAGCAGACCAGTTTCCTCTCCCGCCCTTGGGGACCATAAAGCAACCCCACCATATATATCCCAGCTAAGTGAGTGTGAAAAGACGGACGCCTTATTAATTTTTACGATTTTTAATCCTGCTAGCCTCGAGATAGAAAGAAGTTATAATTTTAAATATTGGCGTTAAACCCATTTTAAGAGAAATGTATTAATTTTGTGCAATATTGTAATAAAAGCGCGAATGTAATATATCTGTGTATTATAATTATAAACGGAGGACAGCTTGCGTAAATGTATCTACATGTCACACAATGGGAAATTATACGTCGTATGATGTCTAACATTACTATTCCATATTTTATCTCTGGTGTAATATGATGGTGTTTTGTAATATTGCAGCACGTTGAGAATATTGAATGACTCACGCACGTACCACAGACCGTTCCGAACACAAAACTGCCCCTCGCGACTAATGGTGCGCCGACGGACACTCGATTTCCTCCCGTTTCTCGCATCCCCACATGTACACGCTCCGACCAAAAAGCAGACAATAGGAATCAAATCAAACAGACACAACTTCATATTAATACTGCCATTTTCTAAAATTGCATTTTGGACGAGTTTTGCCCTCATGCGAAAAATAAATGTGAACCTTGTGTCTAACAATTTTTCGGTAGATTATATAGGAAAGGTATGGATTATAATAAAAAAATAACTCTTATCGCCACTTTAACAGATAATAATCTTATCAAGATATTCAAACTCAATGACATATAGATAAACTCAATTTAAAGGTTCAAAAATAAGTCAAATCTACTTTAAAAAAAGAAGTGGGCAAATAATTTATCAATGAAAAATGTACACATACAAACAAAATTAGAACTTGTTTGGTAAATTTTTCTTCAACTTTTTTATTTAATTATTTTTTATTAATATATGGTCTCCATCAATTATAATTAAGAGGTATTGAGGACCAGAGAATTATAGGTTTTATACGAATTAAGAGTTTGGAAAAAAAAATGATTACATTATGATAAGACTTTTATTTTATTTTAGGAAAAAACTAGATTTGGATTTATAACAAAACTAAATTTTAATTTACAAAAAAAAGGAAAAATGAAATTAGCTTCAAAAGTCTTATAAACTTCAAATTTTTATTCTCGATCCAGGAGCAAAATGGACTTGGTTAAAAATTAAAAAGACAAATAGATAAAAAAAAAACCGGCCTACGCGCGTACTCAGCCCATCACATGTTGTTCTCTGCAAAAAGGCAGCTCTGGCGGTTTCGAGTTTCACCTACACTCTGCACCTTATTATGCAAATGGGCTCGCTCTCAAATTTCATTCCGCGTGTCAAGCGAGAGTTTGCATTTTCCCCCAACGGTCCGTGCTAATCACCTGTTTAAAGTTGAAAACAAAGCGAAACGAAGCCTTTTTTAATCAGCGCAGAGAGACCTAAAAAAAAAATGCATGCAGATTTTGAAATTTTGTGCTGCGCACTTACGGTGACCATCACAAGGATTGTGCCGGGGCCATTATTATTTTCGACCACCCCTCTTGTTCTGTCGGAAAACCGGCCCCGGCACTGGTGCAATTTATTTATTCATGCCTCCCTATTTTGCATAGCTGCACTTGGTCTAATAGCCTGCGTGTAAATTTGTAAACCGAAAATGCTCGGCGTAAAATTTTCCTCCCTCTCCCTTTCTTCTTGCACTTTCTTGTATAAATTTGGGCAATAAAAGAGAGCGAGTCAGTGCTGGAAAAGCAGGGGAATTTTCTCTTCTCGTCGAACACGCAATTTTCGCGCCCGCTGCTCTTCGACGGGTGGCCTGGAATTTCGTCCCGAACGGCTCTTTTATATGGCATTATGGCTTTTGCGGTTTTTATTAAAAATGTTATCATGGTGGAACTCGTTGACGGGCGTGCCATTTCGCGTTTAATAACGAGAGACGGCAGATTATTTTCCAGGAGATTTTGTGCTGAGTGCGCGCCGTTCTACTTGGCTTTTATTCAGATTAGCCCCTTTCTCGGAGCAGAATTGTCCCTTTAAATTGCTCTTAAACGGGAAATGGTCCCCCCTCAGTCGGCATAATAAGCCAAACTTCAATCTTCTCCAGGCAAACCAAAGCTGCCCTCAGAAAAATCTAGATTCAACTTTTTTTTACTTTTGTGGCTTGCAATGTGCTATTCTGCATGTCCTCGCAAAAAAATCAAATTCTGTATCCAAATACTGTGTTCATTTTTTGTAAATTTCATGAAATGTCTGCAATATTATACAATGTAAATATGAACTCTATCAATGAACTGGTGATTTATGTATATGAATAGTAATTTTATTAATGATTTCATTGTTAAAAACTTTTCTCAAGTCATTTGTTTCGTATATCTTTAAAACACTTGAAACTTGGAATAAAAAAATATCTTATTCTCGTCCCACCAATACTCTAACAGTGTGAAAAATGTACCATATATTATATAATTTGAATGTTGTACGCCAACCAGCTGCAATGTATCAAATTTACGAGTCAAATAAAAGTGACGCTATCTAGCAAAATATCTGGACTCGCCTCCTCTTTCATTATTTTCATACCAAAAGAAAAAACACAGTGCGCTTTCTTTACTCCTTTTTTTCATTACCTTCACATCATAAAAGTGCTCCAGCAACACGCGGATTTGCTACACAGACGCAGACCACACAGAAAGAAAGACCGCGGCAAGCTGCTTTTTCTCGGGACTTAATTAAACGAGACTTTAAAGCGATGAGACGAGCGCGTCTGCTCGATCTGACGTAAAATGCGTTTGATAAACACGCCGACGCACGACTTTTTAAAATACCAGCAGAAATTGAAAAGACCACGATGAAAAGAGGGATGCGTTAAATAATAGGGGGGATTGACAAGAAAAACTTTTGGGAGTTATGCTGATGAAAAATTTTGATTAGAAGATAACTTTTTAGCTGTAGATGAAAAAGGGAAAAAAGTTTCAACACTTGTGATTTTTTCTTTAATGAATTTAATGCTGTTATTTTTTAATTAAATTTCTTAAATTAGCATATACTATAAATAGTTCTAAAGTTTTAAAATGGAAGTTAAACAAATTTAAAAAAAAAAAACACGTTTCTCATAAAAAACTTGTAAACCATCCAAATATTATACATGAAAATTCATCAAAAATAAATAGTATATGCGTAGATTCCATCAAATTTCATATTGAAAAACAAAATAAATTGGGCAATTCAAAGTTAAAAATACATATTATGTATGTAAAATTAATGATCAGAAAAAAATATGCTAAAACATGACTTTTTAATTATTCCATGTACTACTTATCGCTACCTATATTATTTTTCATTTAATTATTTTGTATAGCAATATAAAAAAAGAAACGAAAAAAAAATATTTTTTCACCAATTGTTGACTGTAATTAATATATTGTAACAATGTGGACAATTTAACAACAATATTAATAACTTTTTTTCGTAAAGTTTTATAACTAGTACATGTATGGAAATATTTCAAAACAAGGTTGACCATTGCCTATTGCACTTGATTGATTTTTTTTTACCTTTTGTAAAAAACCATTTCTTCATTTTTTTTCGTCAGCTTGTTATTCTCTTTTATCTTAATCCGAGCGTTCTAACTGCCCCTGCTCAGAATCAAACCCTTTTTCCAGCGTTATCCGCCTGCAGGGCATCCTTCTCTCTCATCTGCGTATGAATAATGCAGCAAAATTACGTCCCTGCGCGTCGCACACAATTGGCTTTCGCACACTATAATAATGGCAGAATGCAGTCAACTCAAGCGTCGGTCGTTTGCATAACCGTCGGCTATAAAAGGGGTGCACACGCGGCGAATGGCATACCTTCTTCCTTTCATTCCACCGTCCTCACCTACTCACTCAATTTAAGAGCCTCCGCTCGCACCAATTTACCAACCCTATAGATGCAGCTCGAAATTACACCAACACTGCACGTTTTCCTTTTCTTCGTCGGCGGACACGGTGCATTACAATGCTCGCCGGGGGTGTGTGTTTTGCATTAGAATGGCTTAATAATGACTGCAGCAGGTTCGTCTCATCTCCCTTTTTTCTACGCAAGCTTTGTTTTATTTTCAAGCTGAGCAGCGAGAAAGATGAGATTCCGAAAGGGTGCTGCTCGTAAGGAAAGAAGACGCCGAGTGCACCTGTGTACGATACTGCAGCGTGTTTTTATTTTTCTCCATCACGTGAAAATATATGCATGCGTGCTCGGCTGAGTAAAGTAATGAGAAGTGAAAATTTCTTTGCATGCGAGAAGGAGAGATGAAAGGAAAATAAATTATAAATTGCTTTTTTTAGTTATCAACATAGAAAAGGGTGGAAATAGAATAAAGGGAAACTATTTAATGAAGCTAAAAAAAACGTACTATTCTTTGTTGTAATAAATATCAGGAAAGTTCAATTTTCCTACATAAAATATTTGTAAATAGCAAATAGAAGCTAACTTAATTCAATTATTATTTCAATTGATTAAGTGATTTGTGCAAAATTCTGTTGAAATAGTAATTATTTTAATTTTTTCTTTCAACTGAAATGTTTTTTTGGTGTCGTCTTCCATTTAAAAAATGTCAGCAAAAATATGAGCATCGTCACGTTAAAAAGCACAGATATACATTTTTTTACATGAAATTCGCGTTGGTTACGCGACGAGTAATGAGCGCCGCGAGCGAAACGTCCAACATGACATTTGCAATTAAGCGAGTTTTCCAACGTCAAGTGTGTGAGCCATACTTGATGAGCGCAATTTGCCGGCGAAATGCCCAACTGGCGTGAGAATTTAAATATCAAGGCAGTGTGACTCACAAGCCAGAAAAAGCCGAGTATAATTATATTTATTTGAATTTCCTACAAAATCTTTTGCGCTGCTGGAAATTATCAGTAAACTTGTTAGTGCTAAATTTTGCAAATAATCTCGCTTGACAAACTTTGCCAAAAGTTGTGCCTCGGAGCGGAAGATTGCAAGTTAAGGGGGCGCGAAAGTTTCGGGACGACGTGCCAGCGATCAGCAAAGTTGTTCCTGCTGCACACGTAGTCTATTATCTTGGCTCTCCAGCAGCCACAGTGGCTTTTTATTCTCCTTCGAATGAGTTGTGGGAGTCATTAAGGACAAATTAATAAAGCGTAATCCCACACATTTCTCGAAAAGCTCCGTTGAGACGAGGAGAGGAATCATCTCTCTCGTTCAGCATCGGCATCCTGAGAGAGGAAATTGAATTAAATCCACAGCAGCAGACGACTTCCTTTTACATTATGTTGAGCAAAAGGCACTAAAATTATGAGAAGAGGAAAAGGAAGCTAGTTAATATAAAAGATAAATTTATTTACTTTATCACAAAATGTTTAATTATCCAACATTACCAAGCTCAATTATTAAACAGAATTTATACTTTTGAATCATCAATTGATTAAAATTTTTTCATATCGTTATATATCTCAATTTGAGTAAAAAATAAGAAATAAAAATTTATTTAATCCATCTTTTTTTTATCGCATTTCAAATGCCTTCTTTTTGTATGATTTCAAAGTTAAAAAAAAACGAGAAATGTGACTTAATAAACATCAACAATTTTTTATAATTAATTTTTCAATTATCGTTTATTTTATTGTTATTTATGTGTCTACATAGTTACAGAACAATTTTTTTTACATTAAATCGACGAAAAATATTTATTTAAAAATAATAATTGTCAGACAGGACGGCACCGCCTCAAGAATTTTGCCAATACTTCCAAGATCCGCCGAGTAAATTTCCAGAAAAAAAATTTTAAACCTTTTTCACTGCCCTAGCTGTAAGAACAAGGTGGTGTAAAGTGTAATCCCCAAAAATAATCGGCGGGTATCATTAGGAAATAAATCTCTTTCTGAAACGCGCGTCTTGGAGACGATCCGTGTTTGACTATCGAGTTTCCATGGGAACCGGCGGTGAGTCGGCCCGAGATGAAAACGCTAAATTCCATTTATCCCCCTCTCCTCCCCGTGGAAGCGGCAACACGGCAGCCACCCTCACCCCCGACACACCCCCGCGTGCCGAATATCGATCCCTTATTTTGGACGAAAAAGTTCAAAAGCGGCGTCCAAGGGGCCGCCACTTGCCGGCACCGCGAGGGTTGCCTAAGCCACAGGTGCCGAACGAAATCATCCCCCTGGTACGTACGCGGGGTGGCTGCCGTCGCACAGCAGGCAGGGGTGAAACGAAAATGGTTTTTTGTGCTGACCACTAGGGGTGGAATTTTCGGGCTACCGGCTGCTACCCAACAGCGAAATGATGGGGGCGGAATGAGTCGAGAGGGATTAACAGAGTTTATTGAACGCGACGCAGCGGCCTGTCGAAAATGCTCTCCTGTGATCAGAAAGCAAATAAATTGAGGACAGTTGTGAATTAATTTGGTACCAATGGTCGTCAAGGGTATACGAAAATAGTACACAGCACATTACAGATGGAATATTCATATTTGAAAATTAAAACATCAATTAAGCATTTATAAAAAAAACCAAAAAAGTAATATTAATATAATAAATCGGGCGTTATTTTGCATTGAAACTACGAAAACATCTTGCCCTGAATAATGGAATTAATTTCCAAAATTAAACTATTCATTGCGAAAAAAATGTAATATAAAAAATTCAATTAAACTTTCAAAGGAGAGCAACGTGACTGTTAAAATTAGGAACTCTGCTAAAAGATCTGTTTTCTGTTGACAAAATATTATGGGTTTATTTTTGACATTTTAAATTTCAAATTCTTCTAACAAAAATTATAAAAGTCCCTAATTAAGATTCAGAATAAAAATAAAAATATATCTTTAATTTTTTTTCTTACATATTACAACAATACATTTTTAGATCAACTGATTCCATACAAAAGAGTCATTATTATGCGATTTTCTCCCTCAGATCATCATCTCGTCTCATCTGGCACAAAGCCTGGGGTCCCCTAGTCTAATTTGAATTTCAAGACGAAGAAGCGATAAAAGATAAAAGGATCCAAGTGAGCAAAGCAGTGTGTGCGACCGGGTGAAAAGGGCCCTGCGACTGCTGAGTGCTGATGCCTGCTGGAGAAAACGTACAAGGAGCAGAGATTGATGAATAGCAGGGTGGCAGCTCTCGCCTATTTTACGTTTCATCCCTCGAAGTGCATTTACTCCCAAAAGCTACTTCAGCTGCTTTCGGGATAGAATAAGAAGTGGCTCTTTTCACCCGCGCCTCCAGCAAAATGAAAAAATCTCTGCTCTCCTCCAGCAGTAAATAACACCTCCTTTGACATCGTCTATTATTCAAAAATTATTTTCTTTTGCCCGCATCTTAAAAGTAGATAACGTACTTATTGTAAGTGTCGGTACCCCGATGTAATTTGTGCTATGTGAAAATAAAAGTTGCTTTGTTTAATTTGATTGAAGAAAATATTTTCAATAATCAGTGAAAAATTATTATCTGAAAAATAAAGGAAATTTTTTAATCTAAATTAAATCATTTTGAGCAAAATGCAAGATAATGCATAAAATATTTATAAAAAATATT